CTTCTTCCGCGTCATGAAGAGAGTAGTGACTGAACTGCGATATCTGGGCCAGAGAGTAGTACAGCAAAGGACACTCATCAAATATGAAATAAACACTACAACGAATGTATCGAAAGGACTCGTGAACCTTGAAATAGTCCGCTACTGATATAACGATAACCTCAGGTGGACAGACCTGGTCATACCTCATGTAAGTAGCTGTAGATAAAGGCTGTGTGATAGTAGATCCGATGGGAAACAAAAGGAAATCAAAATAGTACAGAGAATGTTATACCCTGTCATTATTGCAAATTTGTTTAACAGGATAGACAATCTGCTTCATTAATGGAACCGAATGAAAAGATTGCGGGTGGGGAGGGAGTAACGCCAGGTAATGTTTACAGAGAGGAGCATTTTGAAGTTCTTGGTCATGTCATATATTCCATATATATAGACTGATTTAAAGTGTGGTAACTAAATAAAATGCTGATAAATCATAAAATGTATATCGATCAAACCAAGACTGCTAAGATCATTACTTTTAAAGGTCATTAACTTTACTGTCCTTTTCTCACGCGCTTTTAAAGAAAGTACAGTACTTTTATAATTACTCAAAATTATTAAAGTAGTATGAAGGTTTGTAGCTTTCTCGCAATACTGATTTATTTCACAATCGCCTGTCCATAGCCGCTGGGTAGAATGAAGTTGATGCTGTACGTTCAATATTTTATTTTGCAGAGAGATTTTGGTCACCTAACCATGACCCCGAAAATGTTTACCGAACTTCGATCTTGACAACATTAGGGTTCTTGCCAGTTCAAGGATCTGAGGAACAAAATGCGAATTTGGACTTAACTGTGATGAATAAAACAATATCTTAAGTACTGCTTATCCACGTATTAATTATCACAGCGGGGTGGTATCCTTACCTTGAAACAGTTTCAATGTTTCTAATCTTCTGCAGATCGAATAAACACAACCATCTGGGTTCAGAAAGCAACATACTAACATTTTCCATTCATCCTAGATATTTTACCCTCAGCATATCATTTCCTGTGTGAAAAAATCACGTCTCTCGTTTTTTTCTCTGATATGTTCATCACGAGACTAAACCATCCCAGATGCGACTTCGCCATTAGGAGATCGAGTGACTCAAAATCGAAAAGGAGAATCTTTGACTATTACGTTCTGCAGGGTATCATGCCTCGATTCACGAACAACCTTTCGAGCAACATCATGTCTTCCGCTTGTATCCTGGATCGTACACTTTCGGTCGGTTGCAGCACTCATACCAAGGATAAGGAAAAGAATGTAGAATTGTATTTATCCATAGCAAATGGGGTACATATCATTCTAGGTATCGACTGGTCGCCAATCGTCTAAAGGTGATTTTTGTATTATTGGTATCTGACTCGAATTAGAGTTGCCCAATAAATGTGCCTCAACTGGTTAAAGTCGCATTTTTCGTTGCCTACCTTTGAACGCTTCGGTTGCACCAGGGACATGGTTTTTATCGGGATGAAACTGAAGGGCGAGCTTTCGATACTGCTTTTTAAGTTCAGAGTCGGTGAAGTTCTTGGGAACGTTCAGAATTTCGTAATAGTCTTTGCAGTGCTTTATCCTGAAAATCAAATCTCAGTGCGACCGGCAGAGAAAGCCATTGAATTAGTCTACCTCTGAACCGCTTTAAGATCTTCCTTTGTGTAATCGACGTTCACCTGCGGAGTTGACGGGGTGCGATGGTACCTCGATGAATGGCTATCATGCCGTCGGCGTTCTTTCGACCTCGAACGACCTCGCGTTTCTTCGGCCTGAGCATCACTGCCGCTTGGCTCCTGGTCCGGGCCATCTGAGAAATTCGGTTGTGATTTACTGCCGCGGAAACGAGACCTGAAATAAAGGAGGTCAAAGTCAAAAAATAACAAGTACGCACATCATTCTGGATAAATATTAAAATGAATTTGAGACTACTGCATAGTAAGAATACCGATACCGATTTAGTATTGTGTCCGTAATGAATACGTGAAGTATACGATAGTCTAAGATGATTAGAGCTACTAAACAGGCCATTAAATATAAGTAAGAATACCATCTTTATGTCCTTTACTAAAAAACGTGAGAAAATCTTTTTTGATTTTGTTTCAGAATTTTGATATGCGGTTTAATTAATGGTGTTGTCAACAACTAGCGGCATCAGTGAAATCAAAAGAAATGACCAGCGACAAATAATCTTTTAGATGCTGACCGACGAAGTAGCCCTCAACGGTTTGTGAAAAGTCGGTTTAAAAGAGACAAAATGTTCATATCCAAGTACTTTCAGGCAATCGATAAACAAAGAGCAAGTAATGGCAAGGAATTTAGCGACAGGGCGAGGTCAAGGTCATTCCCCATTCCTTTCTTTCTAATAAAAATTTACTTCAGGCTACTCGTTTCTATTATATAACCACAAAACGAACGCAACTTCTTATTTATTTTGATCGCTAATTTTGTCATTGCTTATTTTCTTTCAATTGAGCATATGAAAGACGCATTGTTTCACTGTATTTTTAAAGATATTCTTTTTATGTCCCCTATTCTGCCTGGTTGTCTATTCGATATTATTAATGAGCGAATAAGACAGAAATGGTTCAAAAAGCTATGAGTGAAGCGCTGATCATGTCTACGACCGAGCAAGGGTATTCAAGCACTGAGTCGTTATTCACACTAACTTCTAGTCCTTTCTGTGGCTTGATTTGTTATTTTTCAGTGTTATCCTCGTTCCTAAAACTATTTGTCGTATGGACAGCTCTGCATAGGTATTAAAACGATGTGCCGAATGCAGAGGACATAAGGACAAAGATAGTAGAGGCGTACCATTCACGCCAAGTAAACCGGAGAACGAAAATGTCGGCCGGAATAAAGAAACTCATTTGAGACATTAAAGTCGCATTATTCAGTACAATGACCAAAGAGGTAAAAAAGCTTGAAATTCTGTATGATACTTTAACATATCATTTCCATTTTGGAAGAGCGAAGTAACCCTAAAAATGAAGAAACCGCATCTGAATGGTTCTCTATTAACAGTGAAGACACTGTCTCGACATTCTCCAAAACAGTGCTGACCCGTGCAAAGACGAAGATCTTATTCTAGAGGGAAGGCACAGTTCCAGATATGCGGCTAGCTGTCTTACTGACCTGCAGCGCATAGATGATACTGTCCTAGTGAGAAGCACGAGAAACAGGGTCTGTCACCTGATGGCTTACGCATGTAACACAGCTGTGAAAGTCGGCCGGAAGTCAAAAATTATGAGGAATCCATCCGGTACAATTGACCTAGAAATGGAAGAGGCAAATGCAGCCATTCAGGAGGTTGACCAGTTTAATTACCTTGACTCCATCACCTATAACGAGGGGAAAAAGGGAAAATCCAATTAGAGTTAAAAAGGAGGGTCGCTCGCCAGAGCCCCGAATGCTTTTGGAAACTTGTTAAGTATTTGGACTGAGAAAGAAGTTACCCATCCCAAGAAAATCCTACTGTATCTTGCCAATATTGTTACAGCATGGAGACAGTTGTTCTAATGGTTGAAATACAGCGGCGTTCGTTTCGACGCATAAGGGTTAAATGGTAGGACCACGTAAGATTGGCCTAAAGAACCTCAGTTGATCTTGAAAATAACAAAAAGGGGTTGATCCTGATAGACAAATGGCGTGACTGTAAAGTAAACCATCTACTTCAGGCCGTCAACGCTTGGTGTGGGAACAAAAACACAACAGACCTGTACCAGGATGACAGCGTAAAAAATGAGAGAACAAGGTTGTAGTAGAGCTATTTTCGGAGAGGATCAAATCCAAATAAATAAACCAGTTCTTCTCATCAAGTGTTGAAACGCTGTGAATTTAGAAGACATCACAAACTAGCAACGTTATGATTACGCAAATGGTTCGAGATAGTCTCAACAGTGACTGAACATAAATAAATGGCATAGCTTTATACCGTTAAATTGCATGGGAGGTCAGAAAAAAAATTTTTGGATATTGTTTTATGAATATCTGCAAAGCTTTCAGGTATACGTATGTCATCGTTCAACGACATGCAGCTGCGAACCTGTGAATTCCACAGCTGTTGCTCAACTACAGTTATCCCGTGTCCTGTCCTCCCCCGCCCTATATTTTTTAGAAATATAAGTGCGAGTTTTTGTTCTGTACATTTGAGATTAACCGTTCACCGCTTAAGGTCTTCATCTTGAACTTGAACATATCTTAGGATGATTATGTTTGCATTGACGTATTAAAATTTTGTTCTCATTTACTCTTTGATGGCGAACTGTTTGACACTCCTGTGCCTACGAGATGAAGAAAAAAAGGCAAAAGGCCAACCGGACCGGGCTACGAATAAAACTCATTCCTGATCTTCAGAAAACACATATGTAAAACGGCGATGATCAGAAATTAACATGCATGAAGCGCAGCACCACGCAAACGACAATTGCGCAGATATAGTAACTGATACGAGATGACCACCAAAGGCTTAGGTTGCGCTTACCGGACGCGATCGGTATTCCCACCGCCGCAATAATCGGAGTCGGATCCGATGTCTCCGCCGTTCGCCCTCGCCATCATTTCATGCACGGATTCGATGAGTCCTGAGTGGGAGAAAAACAGGGAAATTATACTCAAAGCTATCCAGCCCAAACGTACCTCGTATCTCGTCCGACGAATGCAGCCGTGCCGCTTTTTCCAGGTACTTTTCAGCCTTCAGTTTGTTCCCGCTTTGAACGCATCTTTTTGCCAAAGTAATGCAACGCAGACTTTCATCGCGGTTCGCTTCCATTGGCGTTGTTGATGTGTATATGTACAGGAAATTATGGTCAAGCAATAATTAAGCCCGTTCTCTAAACTTACAAGTACGTCTACGTCGAGCTGACATTGCAAGATGCACCGTAATCACATTTTGCTATGTGTTTTCAGGTTCATTTGAGCTCTAATATATACAGTACGAACATCTGTATTTACCAGAGGCGATGAGTAAATGAATAATACTCAAGGAGACAAAAACTTGTATGATAACGTTCAACATTGCATAAGTATTTATAAAAGCTCCGGAAAGCAAGTATATTCGCGGTTATAAATCATTAGGTGCAAGAAAACTACGAAAAAAAGCCAATCTGCACGAATGTTTAGGGCTACACGGATTTTCATCGTCTTCTGATTAAGCTGCGAAGTTATCAACTAATTTGCTGCTGCAAAAGCGAATAGTTTATTTTTCTTTTCTTTGATTGTTCCATAATTACAAGTTTCACTATAAATGGTGACAAAGTTAATGGTAGCATCGGTAGAATAAACATCATAAGCTATCCATACGCCCGAATGCATTAAATAACGAGTGATTCCTCCAAGACCAGATTTCATAGCCAGTTGCATTGCACACTACATCCGAGTTACTTAGAAGGCCACTTAAGCAGGGGAAATCTCCATTAAATTTCATCACATGTACTACCAGATGCATCTCGCATCATTTTGTTCGCTAGTGCCACCACGAACTCATCAGAAATGATGATTAAGGAGTTGCTGCCGCATGATAATCATAAGCTGCTTATATGCCGGAATATGTCAAATAGCAAATTACTGATCAAAGATTAGGCTAAACCAGACCTTTCATCTGGCACTGACAGTACACAAGTAGAATTGAGCTGTGTTCTTTTAAAGTTTCTCCTGGGC